CCCTTCGGGGGGGGGGGGGGGGCTTTGAAGATTTTTAAAATCTTGTGTAAGAAACTAAACTAAACCCCCCCGAATGGAGGGTTAAAACACTTGACCAACCCCCTTTCGGGGGAGCTTGATCAAGTGTTTAAAAAGCAACCAACCCCCTTTCGGGGGGGTTGGTTGCGTTTTAAAATCTTGAGTAAGACACTAAACTCGGCATTGTTGTGTTGTACTCGGCATTGTTGTGTTCCACAACAATGCCGAGTTTGTTTATACTCGGCATTGTTGTTGACGTAATTTATTGACAACAACGAGGAATCACAAATTTTTATAATAGATATGTCTAAACATGTGTTTTTGTTCCGTCCTTAAATAAGTAGTGGGTTTGGTCCTTGATGCAACACATTCTGAAAACTTTTCTTTGTAGGAATATAATTTGGTTCTTGCTATCTGTCTCCGTGCGTCTTTTGCACCACGTGCGTGAAAGGTACGTATATAATGACAAGTATACTGTCCGCATGCGTGATATTACTCTATGAATTTATATTAAATTTAAAACTGAGGTCTACGCTGAAAGTTATAGAACTAAAATTTGAGAAAGCTGTGTCACAAAAAGTATGTATATTATTTTAATTACTCTTATAGTATCGTAAAAGAAATCACTCATGAATATTATATCCAGCTATTTATCAGCAATAAATGGAAACCGAGGCCAAACACATCTGTGAAATCTCCATTTCAGAGTAAATCATCCCACTCTTGTTTAGTTCCTGGAATTGTGTATTACTGAATACATGCAAAGCCTTGTTTATAAAATACAGCTGTTCCAGTTGTTATATATTATATATTTTTATAATCCAGTGTATTTGTATACGATTTTTTTTTTATTATGAATGCAGTATGTATTCAGGCAATTTGTAACCATTTTTTTTAGTTTACGATCAAAAAAAAATAACGTAATGCAGTTTCCACTTTGCATTATGTAATCTTTATGAAAAAGAATTATTCGCCATGTGGCTGTCACGTCGAACTGCGTTGCTTCTCAAACACCAAGTTTTGGAGTTACTTCCACATCAGCGCACTTCCAGTTAGCAGTGAGCTGTCAATTTGTGCCACAGGCGTCGGGAACTTTTTGTTAGACCGCCGTCCGATGATACAGATTTTACAGAGTAGATTAGAACTCAAACCCGAATTTGAGATTTGTAGTTCTCAAGGGGGTGATGTTTTTGATTATGGTTTTCAGGGTTCTGATTTCGTATATTCTTAAAAGTGATTCCCAGTCTTTTGGATGAACGAATATCCTCGAACAAACCCCTTAAGAAAGTAATCCAAATTGCAATCTAGCCGTCTGTTCTAAGGTTAAAACGGAGACAGT